TGGCTGACCCGGGCGTTCCCCCCCCCCCCGCGTCGCTGGTGTCGCCATCACCCGAGCAGGCCCTGAGCTCCAAGCTGCTGGAGAAGCAAGCGCGGCTGGAGGAGTCGGTGACGGAGCGAACGACCCTGACGGCCAAGCTTAGGGAGGCGTCCGACCGCGCCTTCCGCGCCGAGCAGGAGCTGAGAGAGTCCAGGGGGGAGACCTTGGAGGCCGGGGGCGGCGGCGGCAGGGCGGCAGGAGGAGGAGGAGGAGGTGTCGGCGTTATGAGGGCGAGACGGGGGCGGCAGGGCAGGAGCTCGCCTACCGCGGGGACATGGTCGCGCTTTGGGCCCATTGCCAAGCACAAGAAGGTGGGGGTGCGGAACTGCTCGCTTTCTGAACATTTTTTTTGTAGTTCTTGTTTTTTTGTTTCTTTGTTGACAAGTGGGGATGGAAATGTTATCGACCGTCCCGGAGTATACGGCAGGGTTGTTGCCTTGCCCGCGTGCTTGCTGGTGTTTCGCGGTTGTAGATGTTTTTAATGTGTAAATAGAGAACTCGCCGCCAAGCGCAGTGAATCCGGGCGCGGTTTTGTTGGGTTGGGCTGTGGGCATGTTGCGGGTGGCTTCTTGAGGTGGCGAAGCACTCGAATGTGCGGTGTGCGGTATGGGTCGTTGGTTCGTCCGCCGAGGGACAGGCGGGCGGGGCGTTTTATTGTCCGTTTTCCGAGGTGTCGTGCCCATGAGGTGCGCAAGTATTGTGCCACCGGTTGCGCCGTTTACATTCTAAACGACGAACTTCGCACCTGCCCAGTGTGTGCATACAGTAGCGGGCCCTTAACAATGCCGGTTGAATAGCGCCGGTGGCCTTGTATAGCGTCGGTGAAATTGCTGGGCACAGACTGAATCACCGAGTAATTATGTTCATTGCATGGGGCCGGTCCCTCTGAATAGCGCCGGTCGTTTCCCTGGGCACATACCGGCGTTAGTGAGGGCCCACTACCGTATGGGAGGGTACCCTGTGGTATTGATGTGGCGATAGTGTAACCCAACTCTAACCCTGAGCATCGCAACTGGCACCACCTCCTCTCGCCCCCGAGCCCACTCACGAGCAGCCCCGTTCGTGTGTTGGATGTTGAGGTCCGTTCACAGTTTTTTCTTTATTTCACGTTTTTAAATTTTACACCCCCGCGGGTGGTAAAAATTAAGAAATGCAATATTTGCGCCCCCTTTGGTTGGCGAAAAATTAAGAAAGTGAAAAAAAAAAAAAACTGTGAACGGACCTTTATGATATAATTTGTCTCGCTCTCCTGTTGCGTGTGCGTGTGCGTCGTTTCTTTCTCAATTTTTTTTCATTTGGTGGGGACGCAGATCGCATCCGCCGTCGACGTCCTCGACCGACAAACACTGAAGACCGGTGAGAGAGGCGGGAGGAGAGATGAGGGAGACAGGGAGAGAGAGAGAGAGAGAGAGAGAGAGAGAGAGAGAGAGAGAGAGAGAGAGANAGAGAGAGAGAGAGAGAGAGAGAGAGAGAGAGAGAGAGAGAGAGAGAGAGAGAGGAGCGTGTGCGTGTGCTTGCGCATGTTCTATTCCTGATTCGCTTTGGCATGGTTTTACGAAATTTTTTGTATCATGTGCAACAACACCTAATACCCGAGGAGAGACGCGCAGGGAGGTAGCACGCAGATGCACATACGCGTGCGTGTGCGTGTGCGTGTGCGGCTGATTTGACGTACCCGACTGTTTATGGCTGTCCATGTGGGATTGCGGTTGCGCGATGTTATTAGACGAAACAATTGACTACTGCTGTGCTAACACGTGCGGTTGCACTTGATGCTTTTCTCAAACTGTTTTGCCGTTGTAGCTTGGATATTGCTCCCTGTAGGTGCAGACAGCTCTTTCATGCACAGTGCATTCACTCTCCGCATCGTCGTCCACGCTAGCCATAGTCATGTTGCTGTACTGTACGACTTTGGCTCGTCCAGTCCAGACTATCCTAACTCAAATAGTCACCAAGCGACTTTTACTATAGGCCTTTGTACACGAAAACCAAAAACAAACATGATTTGTACTTCAGTGGCGTTTTTTTGTAATTGATGAGGTGATGACGGATTGGCGTTCCACCGACAAAGCGGAACGCGCGTTTTGAAGAGGTGGTGTTTGAGGTCGAACTTGACCCTTAGACCATGCATAATAGTTCCCGTTGTAGCCTTGTTTACTTGCTTTTTTCCTTGCGGTGGAATCCTAGCCAACACTATCGTAGAACGGATAAATTTCGAAGCCTGGAGCGCTGTCCACACCCACTTAGAATCAATCCAGAGATGTGAAGAAATCCTGTCGACGGTTGGTTTGTTGACCGTTGACGAAACGGCTATTCGTTTGTCGGCTCAACGACGTTGTTTTCCTTTCGATTCTTCCGAGGCCCGCGTTGACCCACCCACACACTTGTGCGCTAGAAAGGTAGGCCCTGTTTCCCTTCTCGTATTCGTCTCTTCCCTCCGCACTCTCTTTTTGACGTCCCGTTAACTCAACGAACCTCTCTGTTGTTCTTGGCCCTTATTGCACGCTGACCACCACCAACATCACCAACATCACCAACATCACCAACAACAACAACAACAGTGGTGTTCCTACGCAACTCGTCCGTGGCCCGGGCGGCCTTCCTGGCGTACCTGCTGCTGCTGCACCTCTGGACCTTCGCCGTCGTCGGCTTGCACTCGAGCACCCTAAACCACATCAAGCACCCGGCGGAGCATTCGGGAAACGTTGACCATGGCCATTGATTGGTCGATACTTGGGAGGCGAAGGAGGGTTGCGGTTGGACGAAGGGTTTTCGTGTAGGGAGGACCGGGGCGGGAACTCTTAAAAATGACTTGGTTGCTGGTTTCTTGTTTGGTGCCACGAGTCTGTCGAGGTGTCAGCCACGAGTCGCTCTCGGTAAAAGGATGGAAGAGCATTAACAGAAGAACGACGAAGGCAGTAGTATTAAATTCTTCCCGGCCCTGCTTTTTTTTGTTCTGTCTGATGCACGGGCTGTTGATAGGAGAGAGGAGCACGTGCGCGGTGTGGTAAAGCCTGATCTGTTTACTGCGCCAAATCGTTGACATTGTGTACGGGTTGTGATCCTTCGTTGTCTGTCCACGACTCGTTTGGTAGCGGTTACTACCGGTCGTTTTGGACGGCTCTTAGAGAGTGGGAGCGGATCCTGGGTCGAGATTGATCTCGGTTGGTGCTGATCAGATCCGCGGTCGGCCAGACGAGTGGCGTTTCGACGTATCACCTGCTGTGTTTTGTTGTTTCTTTGCTGGAGACGCTTCGTGGGGCGCGCACCCGTGTGGTAGCAGTTCTCCAGGCAGACCGCTATTAATGATAGCACCAGAACACAGCATGCGGTCAAGTAGACGGACGAATTTTCAAGTAGACGGACGAAGTTTCTCATCATGGCGTCCGCGTCAGTTGGACCAGTACGGACACCAGAAGGTACTGAGCGGCGACCCGAACGGTTTTTAGTGTGAAGCAACACACAACAGCAACAACAACAACAACATTTATTACTCTGGAGTATTAGAGGGCTTGCGCGGGGATAGCAAGAGGGCCAGGAGGGTCTCCAGGGACGGGGTGTGTATCGGAAGCTCGGAACGCCAGACGGGGAGAGAGAGTGCTACACAACAAGCGGCATCAACTGCCGCAGCAAACATGAACGACGCAGCTATTCCTGCTATTATTGTCATGCCATCATCCTCGGCTTGCTTGCGCCTGTGCTTTTGTAAGTCGACGCGCGTGTCGTCTTGTCGCCTTCGGGTAACGGCCGTTTTTGCCCGCCCTCGCTCCGCTTGGACGCCCGCGGACGTGTACCGAAGGAATGTGTTGATGGTTGCTGTGGGTATGGCGCTCATCGTGCTGTTGTTCCATTCTCACTTTGCTTTGGGCGGAGAGGTAAGGCTCAAAGGATGCCTATCACGAACGGCGGGTATCTGCATCGAACACACCTGGCCCTGAGGCGTGTCATTGTACGGTGTTCGGAGGAGGCAACAGATCGGACCGTCGGTCGTACGCACACGAAGGGAACTTGCTGTTGTTGGAACGGACCGATTGTCAGCTTTGCGTGGAGGCATGGGCTTTTGGCGGATACCAAACACTGTGTCCCGCCGAAGATGTATTTCGCGCAAGCACTGGAGTGCTTCTCCCCTCTCTAGTGGGACCTTGAAGAGAAGACTAAGACCCGTCCACCATCCCTTGACTCGCTCTTGCTTGTTTTGCGTTGAACAGCAGACCTAGTCAACCAAAAGCAACACCTACATAAGAGTGAAGCGTCATTTCGTCGCCTTTCACAGTCGACGAAGGAAGGCACTTTTTCTTTTATCTCAGTATAAATGGTCAATAGAGCTCAAAAGAAGAGTCTTTCCGGAGAAGAAACATGAAGCCTGGTTGGTATTGGTATCGATCTCTTCCCAGTGTACTTACTATGCATACAGGTCTGGAGCAACCCGGGGAAAGAGGGACCACGAACCATGTTCAACGTCTCGCCCCCCCCCCCCTAGTTGATGCCACCACTGACATGGCCTAATGACCTAGTAAGAACTCCGTCACACGATTTCTACAAAAGCTGCTGTAATAGCAAGGCACACAGCAGATGGGATGGGGACAATTTCGTCGACAAGAGTGTGACCCTTGCGGCTGCCGCACAGACGACGGAGATGCAAACAGCCGTGTCCGCCCCGGCACGGGCGGCGGCAACAACAGCGGAAGCAGCGCAGCAACAGCAGCGCGAGACGATTCAGCAGACACGAGACACAGCCGGAGAAGAAAAGCGGATAGAACAGGGTCGTTTCCTCTCAACCCACCGTCTATCGTTCTCCTTACAACACCGCAGACAACACGGTACGGAACGACATGGACCACAGAGAGACGTCAAACCAGGAAGCACAGAAAAAACGTGTGTTGACACAAGCACCTCTTACATGACAAATACAGACCACAAACCAAAACGTGCGTGACAGAAACAGCTTAGTGCCTGCTTGAACGGTTCAACATCAACAACCCAAACGATGGACTTCGTGAACGTTCGGGTTGTCACTGCTGTTGTAATTTGTCTTCCGCAATTCTATCATGTCTCACGTCTCCTGCACCGAACAAGAGGACGTTGCACCAACGCGCCACTGGCTGCACCTTGCACAAGATGAAAGCTATTCAGCCTATCCTCCCCTCCTCCAAGCTCCGCAACGGCCGACAGCAGTCCAAGTCACCACCAGATTCTCCATAGAGATGCCGATCAGGAAGTACAGAATAGCAGCTTCCCGTACTCTCGCCGTCTCTCTTACGTTGCTACGGCGTTGGCATCCCTCACCCTCGGGGAGAGCGCTACCGTCTACAAAAAGAAGCGGTGTCCTCTTCACGCGTCTAGTCCGGCAAAGTTGTTGATCAAGAACTTGAAGCCGTCGTCTAGCGGCTTCTCTCTGTCCACGACGGAATCGCAAATCTTTGGCATGTCGGTTTGCTGGAAACATGCACAAGTAGCAGCAGCAGCAGCGGCGGCGGCAACGGACGGATTTAACACGACATGCGAAGGAACAAGCATGTGGACAGCATGTACACGGAAGGTTTCGAATGGCATACGGAAGACAGGAAACCTAACGAGCGCAATTATCGCCCTGGCGCTTGTGCCGGATGGGTCATGTAAAACACACCACAGCGAGGCTACAGGACAGTGCTTGACGGGAGGATGGGACAGACGCTATCTACGGACGCTCGGTCGTCCACGAGAGCCCGTAGGCGCGGCTTCAATGTGCTCCTTGTAACACCCCCCCTCCCCCCACCGTGGATTGTCTGCCAACGTTAAGAAGAGTGCCGTCATGGTATGCAACGAGAACAAGGAGGAACCAGTAGAACATAGATGGAAGTGGGGGATCGAGGAGATTGCAGTGGTGGACCAGTTCACATACCTCGGAGTAGAGATCGCAAAAGACTGCTCGTGGTATGCACACATGTCCAAGGTAGTGGAAAAGTGCAAAGCACGAGCAGGGAAGTTGCACCCAATACTCGCAAAACCGGTACCTCAATACGCGCATCATATTGACAGTTTTGAACAGCGTAATCGTACCGCCGCTAGAGTACGCCGGCGAAGTATGGGAAGGAAGTAAAAAGGTAGTGAAATAACTCGATCGAGGCGGCGCAGATGAAAGCAGCAAAAATCATCCTAGGATGCTCCAAGCGCACAAGTAATGCAGCCGTCAGGGCAGAATTGGGGATCCAGTCCCTACGGCCGGGAAGAGACGCGAGGAAGCTGACATGGCAGTATCGCATGTGCGGGATGGGAGAGGAGAGGTTGCCGAGAATTGTATGGGAGGCGAAGTGGGCAAACAAAAAGAGGGGTAGACAACCCACGGAATGGGTCAAGGTTGTAGAGGGCGTATGGAAGGGGCTCGACATCGACGAAGATGAAACGCTGGAAACGGAGGGTCTGCAGAGGTTCAAGGAGAAGATATCTGTTGCTTGTGCCGAGAGATAGGAGAAGAATCTAAGGAAGGAATCCAAGGATAAGGAGGGTCTAGAAGTGTACGGAATGTTGAAGGAAGGAATAGGGTTCAAGGATTACCTACATAGACCAATGGATGCAGGAACAAAGCTTAAGGTCAATTTCAGGGCCGGGGACATAGGCATTCGAGAACGTCGACGAAGACATAGGACGGTAGACGAGGAAGACGACGAGTTCAAATGTGATTGCGGCTTCGAATGCGAAGACCGTGTTCATGTAGTCGCGGAATGTCCGTTGTACAAGAAGGAGAGGGAAGTGTACGTGACTGAGCTGGGAAAAATAGATGGAACGTACAGGGAGATGTTTGAGGCATGGAATAGAGAGGAAAGGACGGTAGCTGTACTGGGGCATAGGAGGTGGGTTGAAAAGGCGGGAAGGGACATCGTTAGTATAGACAGACTAGGGAAGACATTTTTGAGCCACCTTTGGCAAAGTAAAAAGGAACGATTGGCCATCGGTGATTANAAGTCGACGAAGACATAGGACGGTAGACGACGAAGACGACGAGTTCAAATTGCGGCTTCGAGTGCAAAGACCGTGTTCATGTAGTCGCGGAATGTCCGTCGTACGAAAAGGAGAGGGAAGTGTACGTGACTGAGCTGGGAAAAGTACACGGGACGTACAGGGAGATGTTTGAGGCATGGAATAGAGAGGAAAGGACGGTAGCTGTACTGGGGCATAGGAGGTGGGTTGAAAAGGCGGGAAGGGATATCGTTAGGATAGACAGACTAGGGAAGACATTTTTGAGCCACCTTTGGCAAAGTAGAAAGGAACGATTGGCCATCGGTGATCGGTCCTGTGGGAACAATGCTCCGTCCTCTCGAGGACGCGTGGTCAATGGTCTAACCGCTAAGGCATGCAAAACATAAGAGTACGCCCCCCCCCGCCCCCCACCGTATCAACTGCTTCAACAAATCAGACATCCATAATCAGATAAAAGAAAGGAGCTGATGTTTGCTGCAACGCTGTGCAGTTCTCGCGGCCATGTTCCGCAAACCAGTTGACAGGGCAATATTTGGTACCAAGTACTTGTTGAACTAACTTCGTGGTGTTGTTGCCATGATCGGCCCCGCTCCCCTCGTGCCACCGCACGCATCTCCACAACTCCACCCTCACCATGTCCAAAAATGCCGTGAGGAACAGGAGAAGGTGGAAGTCCGACAGGACGTCCATGTAGGTGAACCCCTGCCCGCCGGCTCTCCCCAGCTGCCGCTTGACGTCGTCCCACGTCTGCATGATGCCGTCGCGGTTGGCGCGGGGGAAGTCGTGCAGGAACTTGGCGCTCTCGTGCTGCTCGATCGGGACCGTGTTCAGAAACATCGTCGTATCCACCTTTTTTTTTATTGACAGTCCGTCGGAGGACGGGGCCCCGCGGACGGGTGTGTGTT